TCCCATGTGCGATATGAAGCGGTATATAAATGAAGCTACTTTGCTTTGCTTTGCAGGAACGATGGGGGCAAGGAAAAGGTTAAATCATGATCAAGACTAGGTGGACCCTTTAACCACACTGATCCTTGGTGATTCCCATCAGGATCACTGTTTCCCCACTGCTGTTATCAGTTATCATGACAGGAACCACTGGGAAAGGGGTGGCTTTAATTTTGCTCACTCCTCATACTCCTGCTCAAAGAGAAAAATCCTCATGATGAAGATAGGTGGGTGGGAGGAAAGCTATGAAATTGCAGAATTGATTATTCCCACTTTGAATATTAGTGAATCTGCTTGTGCTTTATTGCCTGATAACCACAGAGACTTGTCTTGGAACTGTATTTTTATAAGCCACAGAGAAGTTTTTTTTAAAAAAAATGTGTGCTTCACACACTATTTTAATTAATCTTTAATTAATATGGTGGTGGTGGTGAAGGAGGAGAAGGAAACATACCTCGCCCAAGTCACGAATCCTCTTCAGAAAGCGTTTTTCAAAAATGGTAGGGTCAATTTCAGCATTAGGCCTCTTCTCTGAGACAATATCTGGATCTAACACAGGAAAAGATATCAGGGAGGCATCCATGAGGAATCAACACTGAATTTTAAGAACTCTCTTTATATGGAATTTATTTCAAATTAGGATAGAGAACTGCCACCTTACTAAAAGTGCTAACATCAATAGATGTGATTTATTCACCCTCCATGTGCTATTTATATGGAGTTTATTTCAATAATATAATATAATATAATATAATAATAAAACTGCTCCTTCCCTACAACATGGGAAACTACTTTCACAAAAAGGAAATTGCAGCTGACAAATGCAAGCTTGAGAGCCAGTATGGCATATATTATGAACGCTGGATTACAACCTGCAAGACTAGGGTTCAAATATCCACTCGGCTGTGGAAACCCACTGGGTGACTTTGGGCAAGTCACACACTTTCAGCCTCAGAGGAAGGCAAAGGAAAACCCTCCTCTGAACAAATCTTGCCAAGAAAACCCTGTGATAGGTTCACATTACGGTCACCATAAGTCGGAAACAACTTGAAGGCACACAGCAACAAATGCAAGCTTGATATGTTTGAGTGCAAAAAGCAATCTAGAAATCCAAGCACTAGTCCAATGCAGAGTAAGCCCTATGAAACAATTTTTGAATTGTATGTCAACACTTAATAACAACCAGTGATTAAATAGGTAATCTTTAGCTGAATCTATCACTTGTATTTAGGATGTTGCCTTCTTGTTGCAGAACTGACAGACAGCCAAGTTACCATATGAGGGGGTATCATAAAGTTTTAATTATCATCTTTTAAAAAATGACAGAAAGTTTGTTTTGATTTGTAGTTGTTAACTTATCTCTGCATAGTCACGATCCAGATTTACACATTTTTCCCAGTGTTTCTTGACCCTCCAAATACCTGATATTGTAGAAGTCTGCAGACTGCGCCTTACGAGGGGGTATTGTAAAGTACTAATTATTACCTGGAAGTTATTACAGTATATTGATGAAATTTTGTTGGTGTCATCATTGGTCCCTAAGTGCATGATGTTGAGAAAAAATAGCTCATTGTGTCCTTTATTTTTGTGACAGGTTGTGCCAGAAGTGACTAAAGTGTAAAATCCTCATAAGGCACAATCTGCAGACTTCTACGATAACAGTATTTGGAGGGTCAAAAAATGCTGGGAAAAATGTGTAAATCTGGATGCTGACTATGTAGAGATAAGTTAACAATTATTTCCTGTCAAAATTTTTTTAAGGTGATAATTAAAACTTTATGATACCGCCTCATACCAAAATAACACAATCACAGCAACCAAGGAATAGGCAAGACTGCATATACCAGGGGTAGGCAACCTTTTTGAGCCAGGGGCCGGGTTGCTGTCCCTCAGACAATTGACGGGCCGAAGCACCAAAAATAAATAAATAAAGAAATAAAAATAAAAATTAAAAAAGAATTAACAAATTAAAAAAAAATGCATGCACACTCTCTCAGCCCCAGAAAAGCCATGGCAAAACCCCTGTGAAGATTTTGCCAAGAAAACCCCAAGAACAAGTAATAACAACAATAATCAATATCATCATGGGGGGGCAGTGGCGGTGGTGGGGGGGCGGCGGCAGCAGGACCGGTTTGGGGCCGGTCCAAAGGCCTTGCTGGGCCGCATCCGGCCCCCGGGCCTTAGGTTGCCTACCCCTGGCATATACCGTAGTTCCAATTTTAGCTCACATAGGATGCTGCTTTAGCAACCGAAATCAAACAACATACTCTGTGGTATCTCAACTACAGGACAATGTCTGAAAATAAATCTACGAAAGCTCTTTACTACTAGTTTTAGATAAACAAAAAATTGGTGGGCTATGCAACAATGTTTTTATACTGCCGTGAAAGTACTGCATATTCAGCTATGTTAAAGAATCCCACTGATAGAAGAAAACACATTCACTTATAGAAAGGGAAAATAAGCAAAACTTTTCTTACTTTGTTCTTCCAGCTTGTTGATATCACGCATAATTGCTCTAAAGAATGGTCTCTGATTAGGATCATAGTGCATGCACTGCTTCATCAAATCAGCTAGCTCCTTGCAAGATGGTGTTGCAAGTGCAAAACGCCCTTCATAAAACCTTTCCTTCTGCAAAAAGGGATGGGAATAACAATTATTCACTGAGATCTAGCAAGTTTGTTTCTCTTAACTCAAATGTCACAAGACTTCCATCGGGCAAATTCACCACAGCTAAGTTACAACCAGCACACAGTACTTTTTAGCAAAATTATCCCCACTGTTGTTTTATTAGTTTGTTCAGAATTATGTCTTTTGCTATAAGAGGTCAACAAGCCTACTTTACCCAAGGACAAGGTCATTCAACTAAGGGGCTATGCAGACAGGCAGTTCTGGGCCACCCCTGCTAGCGGCAGATCGGGGCCATGGCAACCCCCGCTGCGACCCCAATCTTTCCTTTTGCCGCTCCTTTTAGGGGCGGCAAAAGGCCGTCCTAAGAGCCGGCGCCACGGCTCTTCCACACCCTTTCGGTGCAGCATGTCTACACACTGCGCCTGGAGGTGTCCTTAACACCGTGCACCATGCAAACAGGCACATGGCATCAGGGTGGGGTTGGGGCAGCCGGCGTGCAGGTGCCCCACCCCAACTCCACCCTCAGACCGACCCTTTAGGCCGGTATGCAACGCCCCTAAGTCTTCTCATCCTACAAGATTTCTATGAGATAACTAAACATGTTTCCTCAAAATTTAAACTCTACTGAGAAAGCAATGCCTGCTTTAAGCCCCTAACACCTTACCTCTGCTAATGTCTTGTCTTTAAGTGGTATTTCTCCGTTGTAGCAAATTTCCCATAATGTTGTACCAAAACTCCACTTATCTGCTGCCACACTTAGATTTTTGGAATCTTCTAGACATTCTGGTGCAAGCCAAGGGATGCGTTCAACACATTCTTAAAAGAAGAAAAAGGTTGGGAAGAATTTGAGTGAACTGTGATGGGGTATGTGTGTGTAAATACCTAGTGATTCTCAGGTTAGTATGGCATGTGATATTACCCTTTTGAAAATAATAATCCTGATTTCAAACATCATTTATATACAAATGTGAAAAAATGATATAGCAAAGTCTCAGTATGGCACCCGCTAATTCAAAATGGTGAAATTCCAAGCATACTGAGAAGGGCTCAAAAGGACCTCCCCAACTCAGTAAACTAGTTTCAAAGTAAGCTAGATTTAAGTAAGTATAAAGGGATCATGCTAGAACAAACATTATTCACTTCAAATATATACAAATAACATAGAACTATCTTTGACCTCCCAGGAGAGAAATCATGATGCTGAGGTAGGAAGGGCAGCAACAGCACCAACAGCAACAGCAACAAATCAGAAGGCCAAACTAAGTTTTGGAAACTACAGTCATCACTCTGTATTCTGACATTGAAATAGAATTCTGACATTGCAAGACTATCACATTGTACCTCTTTGTCCATCCTGAAATGCTGGCATCTATAGTCTATAAGAGCTATATTCTGTATCCAAATTTTGGTTCTTAGATGCAAAAAAAGTCCCATTTAAGACTTTCAAAATCAGACTATCTTGATGATGTGTGTGCTAAGTTTCATGTTTCCAGGCATGAAACTAGATGCACATACTAAAGTTGAGCATCATTATCTATTTTTAGACAGCATATGAATGGCATGTTCACATGAAACACACTGGCTTCCCCCATTCTTAAGAATACAAACATATTTTAAAAAATTTAAATTCTCACAGGATCCCTTGTACACATGAATTAATAGTTCAAGAGTTTAGTTCACTGATAACCATTTTGGAAGAAAACTAGCATATAAATAAATAATTTAGTTTAATGTTTGAAAGTTCTGAGCATCTCACATGAAATGAATAACTATCTGGAAAGAATGAAGAGGGCTCCATTTTTGTCCTTCTCTCCCAACACCAGAGGTTTGCATCATCCAATGAGACATTCAGGCAGCCAGTTGAGGACTGGCAGAAGGGTTCACTTCTTCACAGAAAGTACTATTAAGTTATGGAAATCATTACCACACTGTAGGTAAATCAGTATTCCTAATATTAAGTTTTCACCTAAATCTTGTAGTTACATAGCTAATTATTATACAACTTGAGTTGTAGTATGGATTGCAGCTAGTGTGCTAGTGTAACACAGTGATAATATAGGGACATGCATAAGAACAGAGAGCATGAGCCAGTAGATGAAAAGGTTGTTTTTTTTTACTATCCTGACAAATATATACACATATTTACCTTGTCTAGAAAGCACTGTAACTGGAATTCCTGGGTCACTTAGTTTTATGAAAGGTCCATATTCATTATCAAGTCCTTCTCTGGCCAACAATATATTTTTTGTACACACATTTCCATGTACTAAATCTTTATCTTCCTGCATTTATGAGAGAATATAAATTAGTATGTTCCAACCCTACAATAGGAGAGTGTGGCGTAATGGCTTGAGCACTGGACTACAACTCTGGAGATCAGGGTTCAATTCCCAACTTGGCCATGAAACCCATTGCCTCAGGGGAAGGCAATGACAAACTTCTTCTGAACAAATCTTGCCAAGAAAATCCCATGACACGATTGCCTTAGGGTTGCAATTAAGTCAGAAATGACTTGAAGGAACACAACAACAACTCTACAATCCATATACATTGAACATATTATGAATAGTCTGAAAAGTATACTTGATATATAACAGATCACAAACAATATGACTTGGATGCTAAATCAAGCAAAAGAACTTCACAGTAGGAATGTTTTCTGTCCCCTCCTTCCTCAGTAGCCTCTCATGCTTAGAACCTGCAAAAAAAATATTTTTCGACTAAAATTCCCAGAAACTCCCCAACTAGCATAGCTTGTAGCCATGGGGACTGGTAATACTGGAAGTTGCAGTTCAAAAAATTCATTTTTTTTTCCGTTTTACATTTGGTTCAGTAGAGTACCTTAAAACTCCAGTGACATTTCTTTGGAGAGTAGGGAGTTTGCATGTAGTTGCAGTGGGGAAGAAAATGGGGAAAGATAAGATTTTCATTTTACAACCTTCCTTAACTTATCTTTGGGTCCGCGTCCTATGTTCACATCCAAGTTCTATATCCTAATCCTATGTTATTTAACACCAGATACACAATATGATCAACTGACAAATGATTTTTCAAAAGGTGAAAAGAACAATACAATACAAAAGAACAATACACCTAACAATCCCAATACTCTCCTTACAATGATACACAAGAGGAAAATTATCAACACTTCATTCTTCAGGGATTCTAGGCTTCTGCACATTACCCATCCAACCTTTTAGAAAATATACAGGTAATTGGAGTGTACCCCCACATTCTTCACAGACAATCCAATGAAAATCAAGCATGTTCAGTGGGTACAAAATGGTAATCAACTGCCTGGAGGGTGAAAAGCAGAAACTGGGGTGTGAATGGAGTATGCGGAAACCTGGAAAAAGAACAACACACCCTGTGATGTTTTATTACAGGTTACACTTGTACTTCTATGTATATGTATGTTAAATCAATGGTAGACATTAAAAAATCCACATGTATGGCCATTTCAAAAGGGATACCAACAAAAAAAAAATGCGGAAGGGTTTGCTAAGCTTATGTGAATTATCTTACAGAAATATCAAAGATCAGATAATAGTTTATGTAAATAACATCTAAGACCTACCAGATAACTTAATGCACTTGCCAACTGTTTTGCTACTTTGAACTTCCAAGGTGTTGTAAGCAAATCACTCTTGCGATGCATGAAGAGATCCAGAGGCCCAAATTCAACATACTCTTCCACCATAATGTCTGCAATCAAAGGAAAAATAAATGCGTAGTTCACACAATTTAGCCTTTAATGCATTTTCATGACGGACGCAAATGACATTTTTGGGAATGTTTCATTTGGAAACATATACAACAGAATAGAGTTGATTCATTTAAACATAGGCAGATAAAAAACATAACAAGAAACAAGAGCTACTAAGACATGGATGGAGTTAATGTGTTGGGAGGCAGCAAGCAAGCTGGGAATGGAGTTTCAGTGGTCAGGAGGCAAGAACCAGTAGTAGGCAGGGCTAAACCTTTCTTCTCTTTCTGCCACTCGCTTACTCATTTCCCATCCAGCAAGTTGTCAATGTTGTTCCAAGAGGACTGAGCTGAATGTTTACAAAGTTTATGTTATTTAGCTCACTTATCAAGTCAAATATCACTTTGTGTATGAGTATCTACATCAAGTTACCTGTTGACTTATGACAACCTCATGAATTTAATAGGGTTTTCTTAGCTAAGGAATACTCAAAGGTAGTTGTGCCAGTTCTCCCTCTGAAATATAGCCTATGATACCTAGTATTCATTGGTGGTCTCCTATCCAAGTACTAACCAAAGCTGACCCTACTTAGCTTCCAAGATCAGATGGGATCTAGTACTTTTGGTGTATTTAGGCTAGCTAATTATCACTTTAGGCAGAGGTAATTTACTTACTTTCCACATCACGGACACAAACTCCATGAAGGAGGACAATGTGTTTGTGGGAAATCTGTCTCATCATGCTTGCTGTCTCAAAAAATGCCTATTGAAAAGAAACACATTTTAGGGGTAACAAAGCAGATTTAAAATCAGTAAATCTATAAAAGAATAAAGCAACAAAGTATTTTCACAACAATGTTAAGTTCAATGATGTGCCTGTTTTTATGTTACTATTTGAAATTGTTATTAACCACAAGAAAAATTCTGCTCATTAAACTGCAGGAAGACTACCTATCGATCATCGCAAAAAATCTCACAAGATCTGAGTATATAGTTAGCTGTGGCCCAAAGGACTCTTTACAACCAACTTGGGAGCATGAACAAATTGGTAGCTGAGAATAAATTGTTTACCCCTACTTGGAAATAATCAGGGGCATGAAGAGGAGGGTATGAGAGGTGAGTACCACACCAGGTGACCCCCTCAGAGGAAAGAGTCACCCAGTGCGCTGATGGGAAGGGGCTGCCTTCCAGGTCTGGAGGTTCTACTAAGGATGTTGGAGAGAACAGGGGATTACTAAAAATGATCAACACTGGGTGCAGAAACGGTGCAGCATTAGGAAAGAACCTATTTCAAGAATAGCTTCTCTTTCTACCTAGCACTGACAACAGGAAGTGCTAAAAGCCAAAACTTGAAACACTTCTTTCTCTTTAACCATATCAGAAAGATTTCCCATCTCCTCAAAGGGTACATAATTTACCAAGAGGGGTTTGGTAAGCTCCATACTTAATTGGCAACATATGGCAATATAAAATAGACTTTCATAATGCAAAGAGCTGTGCTTCAGCTCATCAACCATACCTGTAAAACATGGGCATCTGGACCAATTTTCACATATGAATTCTCCAGAATAAAAAGGATATTGAAAGGCGTGTGCAATTTATATTTTACTTTCTGGGACTCTCAAACTTAAAGACCATATAATAGAAAAATGAACATCAATGACATCAGCCATTTAAAAAGTAAACCAATAGAGATACCTACTAAAGAAATGTCTCTGTGGCTGGGGTCCAAGACTTTAAGGAGAACTTTCATCTCCTTTTCATTCTGATAACTTTCATCATCCTTATAACTTAGAATCCCAGAGTAAATCTGTGTTTTGGTTCCTCTTCCAAGGTGCTCACCCTAAAATACAGTTTAAATTAAATGAGAAATGGTAAAAATCTAACCACTCATTTATTTAACGAGAAACATCTACAATCATTAATCATACCAAAGAAAACAGTTAAATGAGAAATCATTTTACATTTTGGATTTTTATTTTAAGTGACATTAATAGTACTGTACTCATTTGATAGATGGGAAAGTCTATCTACATTAATATTAAATGAGCCCAGTATGATGAATATAATCAGAAAATTCTATCTAATAAATTAATAACTGGCTTCTTATTTATATACTTATGGGATATCAGTAAGATTATTTCAAAGTATTAAAAACTAATGTAAATCATGATATATATATTTTTAGATTTTAAGTCACTGAAATTTATAAATGACAGTAATTTATTACCAAAATATACTCAAGGGTTACAAGAATGTTTTGCAATTTTCAGTATGACTTTCTGGTTCCATTTGGATATAATGCTACATAACGATTCCGCATAATGAGAACAACCTAGCTAATTCAGTTCAAATGAACCGTAGTTTAATTTCACTAGCTTCAAACTATAAATTGCAGTGCTGACTTGTTTCAGTCAATCATAAGTAAGATTAACCATAATTTGTTGTAATCAAGACAACTCCAACCACCATTAATCTAAAATAAAAATTTAAACTTCCAAAAAAAATCATGTCAGACAGTGCTTGAAATATTAGGTTTGAAAATTAATTTGATTATGTTAAATGAGATTTATTACCATCAACAGTATTAAACAAAACAGTTTAACAGGTTAAGTTATCATTAGTTGACTTGCTATTAGGACAGACCATAGGTTTTACAAAGAACAGCATGGAGGTTGTTACACTAGAGGTCAGGTGGCACAATGGTTAAATACCTATACTGCAGCCACTCACTCACAAATCACAAGGTTGTGAGTTCAATACCAGCCAGGGCTCAGGCTCAACTCAGGCATGCATCCTTCCGACGTCGCTAAAATGAGTACCCAGCTTGTCGGGGGCAATTAGCTTACATCAGGGGTCGGCAACCTATGGCCCACAGGCTGGGTCCTCCCCCCCGAGGCCTTTGGACTGGCTGCCGCTGATCCCTGCCGCCATTTTGTTTTCCAAAATGGCGGCCGCAACTCGTTTGCACATGCGCCAAGTACTGCACATTTGCAAACGAGTCGTGGCCGCCATTTTGGAAAACAAAATGGTGGCCGTAACTCGCTCACACATGCGCAGTACTCCGGAAGTACTGTGCATGCACGAGCAAGAGTGCGTGCCGTCATTTCCCCCACCACCACCATGCTTGCGGAAGACCAGGGGATCCCCAGACCAGATCCCTAGATTGCCAACCCCTGGCTTACACATTGTAAACCACTTAGAGACTGCATAGCACGGTATGAAGTGGTATATAAATGAAGCTGCTATTGCTATTGCTTGACCCTAGGGGCATATTTTATTACTGAATTCTTCAACATTTTGGTATTGGCTCTTCTTTTTTAAAAGTTGCCTTCCTCCTACCTCAAATTCTTTTCCCCAGATGGACTATAAAACCCATAAGGTACAGCTCCATGGGAATGATAGGAGTTCAACACATCTGGTAAAAGTCAGATTGGGAAAAGCCATTTGAAAGCACGCAATCTTATTTTACAAGCTGTTACATTTGCCATTGATATGCATGTTTATTTTATTTCTAAAGCACCAATATGTAAGCTTCACCGTCTCCTCCTCTTCCGTGCTTGTTAAAGGTTAATAAGGAATTATATTTCAGTTAGGTGACATTGCAAGCACAGCAATGGATGAACTGCTAAAAAGATCAGTCCAGGAATCGAGAGTGCAAAATTCTTAATCAGAAACATTATGAGAGCCTTTGTGC